GAGGATCAGAACATGCCACCCCCAAAATACGCTACCTGGGAAGAAAGACATTTCGAGCTGTAGGCAATGAAGAAACAACAGATGTAGTAAAAGTTCTCCGCCCACCCTTATCTGCCTAAATGCAGGACCTAAATTTTGCTTTGAGGAAGATGCCCCCCTGTACCCGGAAGAAGGACAGTGACTCTTATCACCGGTGACGGGAGTTGCATTGAGAAGAGTCTGCATAAACCAACAAATGGAAGAGAGATAACTCTTCTCGTCCATTCATTTCTCCCATATATTCCTAAACACTTTCTCACGGTTTACTACCCCGGAAGCCCAAACGTTCTTTTCTTTATCCAGTCACTTCTCTATAACCCATCACCCTTTGCTCAAATAGTATTTAATTTCTCAAGTCTAAACACTTACTGGAGTTTTCTACTTCTTTTTGTGAAGCTGCTGTGCCTAAAATCTTAACATCAATAAAATTTGTATCCTTTTTCTCTTGTGAATCTGTGTTCTGTCAGTTTAATTTGCAGATCCCCAGGAATAGAACCTAAGACAGTATGGGACAAATGTTTCCTCCCCTCTAATCCCAGGCGTGGAGTTGGTCGGCGGAGGGGCGGGACGTGGGTCAGCAGCCTTCATGCCCTTTTCCCAGAGAGGTTCTTGCAGTTGGTTTGGCTCTTGGACGTTACTCACCCGCTTCAGCAACCGCAGCTGCTGTGCCCGACAAATGGCAAAAGACAAGATACCAACCACACAAAGATCCCAGTGCGCAGGTTCCCTGCCTCATCTTGACTTTCAAGTGCCTTTATGTGCCTATGCAATGTTGCAATGTTAATCCTCGAGGGCGAAATCCAAGCTGGTTTATCCGCAGAGCTACCAGGGCCCGTGGTGATGGTGAGCAACGAGGCACTAAATTTCTTCTCCTACAATACAAAGGATCTGTTCAACACACTCGCAGTCACAGTACAAACAGCTATTCTGTGTTAGATCAGCAAAGGAAACCAGCCCCAGTGCAAAGACAATTTTAGATCTATGTTCTGTTTCCTGTGGAAGCGCAAAACCAAAGGGGAGCCCACTGGTAGGACAGAGCAAGCATCCGTGAAGGTGCAGCCTGTTTTAAACTTAAGTTCTGATTCAGCAGGTTTGCAGCCGGTCCTGCGAATCTATCTGTTAACAAGCATCCCCAATCCCAGCACTATGGGAGGCTGAGACGGGCGGATCACGAGGTCAGGAGATCGAGACCATCCTGGCTAACACGGTGAAACCCCGTCTCTACTAAAAAAATACAAAAAACTAGCCGGGCGAGGTGGCGGGCGCCTGTAGTCCCAGCAACTCGGGAGGCTGAGGCAGGAGAATGGCGTAAACCCGGGAGGCGGAGCTTGCAGTGAGCTGAGATCCAGCCACTGCACTCCAGCCTGGGAGACAGGGCGAGACTCCGTCTCAAAAAAAAAAAAAAAAAAAAACAAGCATCCCCTGCGGGAGGGGTTCTGATGCAGAGTGTAGGAGGGCTGCCTGTATTCTGAGAAACACTGGATGGTGTCTGCCAAGATTCAATAGTAGACATTATTACAATTATTGGGAGACACAGGCTGTGCCAAATAGTAAAACAAAAATAAATATATTTACATTTCCCAGGGTTTGGCCCAATCAGACTGCTTGGTTCACATAAATCCCAGCGCATAGGCATTTGCAAACAATAAGCATATGTTTAGCATCCTAAACTCTACTTTTAAATAACACATTAAGGAATAGTCATGATTTATGCAATTAGTAAGTCCACAATTAACACTGAAGACTATTAACAATAATTAACACATAATTTTTACTATGCTATACTAATTTTAAAATACCTTTCACAACTCAAGGGATCTGGCAGTTTTTCAAATTTTTCTAGAAGGCCTGGCTTACACCAGCATCCATGACCATCTTCCTTTCTTGGAAACTGGACCTTCAGATCTTATTCATGTGTTTGATAATTTCGTCATAAAGAACAAAGACAACTGCGATGTGCAGACATACTCTGCCATAGCACAGAATTGTTCTTTGTAAAAGTTTGTTCAATACAAACTTTATATGAAAAAAAAATCCCCTTCAAGGGAAAAAAAAAAAACAACCTCAAAAGCTTTTCATAGAAGTCCCTGGTATTTGTATTGGGAAATACAAACCAGGTGAAACATACGTTTTTAATTTTTTTGCTCATTAATTAAAAAAAAAAAATTACTGAGTGCCTATTTTGTTTCAGGTACTCTTCCCAGTATTGGCCTAGCACCAGCCTTAAAGCAACCTTCGGTGAACATAATATATACTGATTATATATTACATACTTCCCTATTGACTAATATAACTAATGGAAGAGTTCACTTCAAAAGAAATGATTTTCCTGGGCATCATTTTAGCAGAAGTTCTGCTTCCTTTTCTTTCATGCATAGAAAATGTGTTTTCTCCTAATGCAGAGCGGCAGGGACGCTTTTTCTGCCCCAGTGAGTGGCCAGGAGAAAATTGCTTTCTCTTTGTATATGAACTCAAGGGCCAACATTATTCTAGCAACAGTAGGACAGGTGGCAAAAGTGTTCTTGTGTCCTAGTTGCTGCCACTAGAAACTTCAGGCAACTGGAAAGTTGCCCGAGGTCATGCCCTGCAAGTTATGTACCTTACATAATGAGGCACTGGAGAGAGAGCCAAAAATTCCCAATCAAAAATATGCAAGCTAGGTGCAGTGGCTCTTACTTGTCATCCCAGCATTTGGGAGGACGAGGTGGGAGGATTGCTTGTGCCCAGGAGGTTGAGGCTGATGTGAGCCCTGATGGCACCACTGCACTCAGCCTAGGCAACAGAGGAAGACTCTGTCTCATTTAAAACAAAATATGCAAACGTCAGTGTGTTTTGATGTCTTTCTTCAAATCACTTAGCAGAATTCATGCCCTTTTCATTTACATTAGATGCTTGAGACAGTTTTCAAGGGAAATATTATTATTATTATTATTATTATTATTGAGACGGAGTTTCTCTCTTGTTACCCAGGCTGGAGTGCAACGGCACCATCTCGGCTCACTGCAACCTCCACCTCCCGAGTTCAAGCAATTCTGCCTCAGCCTCCCCAGTAGCTGGGAGTACAGGCATGCACCACCATGCCACGCCCAGCTAATTTTGTATTTTTAGTATAGACGGGGTTTCTCCATGTTGGTCAGGCTGGTCTTGAACTCCCGACCTCAGGTGATCCGCCCGCCTTGGCCTCCCAAAGTGCTGGGGTTACAGGCCTGAGCCACCACGCCCGGTCAGGAAATATTATCTTTGAAGTCTGAAATCCAAAATTGCTTTCAAGGTGAATAAAAGGATTTTAAAAGATTGTAACAATTTTATTTCTGTGATGATCACTGAGTGTAAATTCTTCATTCTCTATCAGGAAATCCATCTAAGACTTCCATAGAAGTGAAAAAATATATAGTTTTTTAGTCTATGATTAAGGGGAAATATTTCATGGGATGAGAACTGGATACAGGCTGGGCGCAGTGGCTCACGCCTGGAATCCTAGCCCTTTCGGAGGCCAAGGCAGGTGGATCACCTGAGGTTGACAGTTCAAGACCAGCCTGGTCAACATGATGAAATCCCATCTCTACTAAAAATACAAAAAATTAGATGGGTGTGGTGGCGGGCACCTGTAATCCCAGCTATGCAGGAGGCTGAGGCAGGAGAACCTGGGAAGCAGAGGTATCAGTGAGCCGAGATTGCAGACTGCACTACAGCCTGGGCAACAAAGTAAGACTCCGTCTGGAAAAAAAAAAAAAATCGGACCAAGCATCGCCAGTATGTCTTCTGTAGAATTAAACAGAATCAGAGACAAGAAGCAACTTTATTCACATTATAAATGAAACACTTTTGTTTTGTGTATACTGTTAGTTTCTGTTTTAAAATACTCACAGATGATCATATTAAGAAATAAAGGCCAGGCGCAGTGGCTCACGCCTGTAATCCCAGCACTTTGGGAGGCCAAGGGGGTGGATCACCTGAGGTCAGGAGATCGAGACCAGCTTGGCCAACCCAGTGAAACCTTGTCTCTACTAAAAATACAAAAAATTTAGCCAGGCATCGTGGCGGGTGCCTGTAATCCCAGCTACTCAGGAAGCTGAGGCAGGAGAATTGCTTAAACCCAGGAGGCGGAGGTTGCAGTGAGCAGAGATCACACCACTGCACTCCAGCCTGGGTGGCAGAGCGAGACTCCATCTCGAAAAAATAAAAAAGAAATAAAACTTCCAAGTTTATTTTCCCCAAGTTGTAACATGATCCAGAAGTTGAAATTCATTGAATCCCTTGTTGTACTCATTATGGTAATAATGAGATGTTTCCTTCTTCCAGTTAATTATATTAACGTGGAGCTTGCCAACTGGTGAACTGCAGATGGGTTAAGACACGGATGCCTCAGGCCGAAGCCCTAAGGCCAAGTATCTCCAGCCAGGAGCAGCTTCCTCAGCTCAACCAGCCGACTTTTGTTTAGTATTTTCTGCCTGAGCTATGAAATGAAAATCTTCAGAGTCAAACATTCTTGGGACTCACGATGTTAATAGTTTGCTTTGTAGAGTGTCTGGCTTCAGGACACAAGTTAAATCCTATACAGTTAGAAGAGAATTTCTTTTTAATTTTAAAAAACTTTTAGGCTGGGCACGGCAGCTCGCGCCTGTGATCCCAGCACTTTGGGCAGATCACCTGAGGTCAGGAGTTCGAGACCAGCCTGGCCAACATGGTGAAACCCCATCTCTACTAAAAATACAAAAAAATTAGTTGGGCATGGTAGCAGGTGCCTGTAATCCCAGCTACGTGGGAGGCTGAGGCTGAGGCAGGAGAATTGCTTGAACCTGGGAGGCGAAGTTTGCAGTGAGCCGAGATTGCACCACTGCACTCCAGCCTGGGCAGCAACAGCGAGACTCCGTCTCAAAAAAAAACAAAAAAAATTAAAATTTTAAAATTCTTTACCACATCAAGCATATGAACCCAGAAACATTTTTTGAGGCTCTATATTCTTTTGCCAATATTTTATTTAAAATACTTTAGTCCTAGTTCTTTTCCATCTTTAGTGTAAAATAACTTTTTGTTATTGTTAAACTCAATTTGGGTTCAAAATCCTATTTCCAGCTTAGGAAATATAGTGAGGACCCATCTCTATAAAAAATTTTAAAAAATTATCTGGGCACGATGGCATGAGCCTATAGTTTCAGCTACTCGGGAGGCTGAGGAGGGAGGATCATTTGAGCCCAGGAGGCTGAGACTGCAATGAGCCATGGTGATGGTGCCACTGCACTCCAGCCTGGGTGTCAAAGTGAGACTCTGTCTTAACAACAACAAAATCATATTTGATTCATAAAAGGTGTGGAGTAATACGTATTATCCCCCTATTCTAGCCTTGAAATGGTTTATATAATTGTGGCTATTTACCCTATAGATCTCAATGAAGAACGAGGAAGAGAGGGAGGAAGGAAGATAGGAAAGGAAGGAGGAAGGAAAAAGGAGTAAGGCCCCAGGTGATGCCTCTAGAGTAAAATGTGTTCACTGGGTGCAGAGACCATGAAAAGGTGCCCCTTGCGGGAGGGTGGGACATGGGAAGAGTGTGGGGCTTGGGAGGGCAGGACTGTAACCACCAAGGGGTCAGCTTGTGGCTTGGGTGAGGGGGGCTGAAGTAACCAAAGGCTGGCGGCGCTCAGATGGCCACACTGTTTTCCACCAGGCTGGGCCGCAGGTACTCGTACGGCATGTCCAGCTTTGCATTCCGGTTCTCGATTTCCTTATCCAGGGCAGCCAGCTCCTCCCTGAACTTCTTCAGCACAGCCTTAGGCTCAGGGCCCGAAAAATACTCCTCCTCATGCTGGCCCACAGCCACCTGGGAGGGAGAGGAAAAAGCGGCTGGGAGCCTTATGACCCCCAGTCTGGGATGCCGCACGTCCCCACAGCTGCCTCCTTCCTCAGGGCCCTGGGCACTCGGCTCTCACCATAATGGGCTGGCGTCTGCCCAGCTGCCAAGTCATGGACATCTGGAGAGACGCCTGATGGAAGTTGGGCAGCGTTGCCATCACTGTCTCCAGTGTTGCATCCTTGGTGGTCGGCGGGGGCAGCCGCATCGTGCAGGGTGCATTAGGGACCCAAGCGTACCAGTCCAGCTAAGGAAGGGCAGGGATCCAGAGTTAGTGCCTGCTAAGCAGGAAAGCCCTGTGGCCCACCTGCACACAGACCCCTCCCTCACTCCAGGCCCCAAATTCCCAGGTAAGTACCTGGCCCAGATGCACAGAAGAGTGTTGGCCGGTGCAGGTGAAGATACACATGGTGACAAAGCGGCAAACCTGATCCCGAGACTGTAAAGAGACAGGAAACCCTGCAGGGGGTGAGGAGAGTTAGAAGCTGGGAAGCCAGGAGTAGGGCAGAGAGAGGAGAACAAGGCGGGGTGAGAAAGAGCGGCAGGAGCGCTCAGTAACTCTTACGGGAATTACCATGACAGCAGGTTGGGGTGGCGGAGTGGGGAGCTCTGCTGGGGGATCCCACTCAGTGGGGTGCTGCCGCTGACTCACATTGGCTCACAAGAGTCAGTCAATGACGTTAGGTGTTAAGCAAAAGCTGGTCAGCATCACTTTGGTGGCCACAGTAGAAATATTTATACCACGGAAATGTGCAAAAGCTACAAATCAGGACGGTTCTTCCCAAGAGTCAGTTGTTAAACATGTATGAGCAGCCACTGGTCCCGCTGCATCTGGCACCTAGGGGCTCTCAGCGTGTAGGACGGGGACCTGTCTCTAGGTGAGAGGCAGTGGAATCTGAGAAGGCCTTTGGAGTTCTCATAGGTGTTGAAATGCTTCTGGGAGATTTCATGAAGCACAGGAGATTCTGGGGAGGTCTCTTGGGTTTTGTGTCTGAGATCTCAGGGCAGGGGCTCCTCCTACCTCGGTCCTGGCCCCCTTGCAGCCCGATTTCAGTGATCTCTCGACACCAGGTCTGCAGCTCTGGGTCATCTTTCACAGCCACGTCTGTCTTATAGTGGAGACTCACGATTCCTTCCACATACCTAACAACCAACGGAGCAGGGCCAGTTAGCTGAAGCCAGCTTCTGGGCTCAGGTGATCCTCCTGCAGCCTCCTTAAGTGCTGGGATTACAGGTGTGAGCCACTGAGCTCAGCCTTATAATTTTTACACCTAGTTGAATGAGCCTCGATTTTACAGAAGAGGAAACAGATAATCAGAGAGGCTGGATGCTTTGCCTGAGGTCACACAGCTTACAAACAGCAGAACCAGGATTCACATCCAAGCCTATCTGTCCTGTAATCCCATGAATTTCCTCTCTGTTGTTCCATGTCGCCTCCTGATTAACAGCCACAGCACTCTGACCCTGATTCTCTTACTCTGCACACTCTCTGAATCCCTAGCACCAAGGGCCAGTCACGTTTCTTCATTTGACCCTGTTTCTATCAACCATTCCACCTTGCACGCCCTCCCTCCGCAGCTACTCTCATGTGGGAAGGAAGCCGAGCCACTGAGCTTCTCCAGGATCCCTCAGTTGGAGGCCAGCCTAGGCAACATGGAGAAACCCTATCTCTACAAAAGCACAGGCCCCCAACCAGACGCAGACCTCCCGCTCTCCTAGATGTCTTCTCCACCTGAACTTGCACCTCCACTGGCCTTCCCCCTTGCCTCACCGAAAGATGATTTCCCAGAGCCGCAGTGCATCTTGGGCATAGAAGGAAGACTTCACTCCCAGGAGCCCCCGGTCAGCCAAGTCATCAGGGGGACAGAAGGAGCTATAGGTTAGAAAGCCTCCAGCTCGCTTGAGCAGCTCCACGTGGCCTCCCCCACCAGTGCTCACCACCTGAGGAGCGAGGATGAGCGGGGTCAGGCAAATCGACTTGCCCTGAATCCAGAGCTGGAAAGAAGAGTGACCCAGAATCTCCCTTTCTCTTCCCATACCTGGTCAAAAATTCCCATGTCAGAGACCAGCCCAGTCCTGGCCCGGACGTTAATTTCCAGGGTGTATCGCAGGTGAGGAATGATAAGCTAGAGGGAGAAACGCAGGGAAGGGCAAAGTCAGAGGAGAGCTGCAGCACAGCCCTGCAGGAAACAGGGGCCGACAAGCAGGAAAGGCACCAGGTCTTCAGAAAAAGCACAGACGTAAAGTTCAGTGGCCTCTCAACAGCGAGTTTTCAGAAGTACCATTCGACCCAGCAATTCCATTACCGGATATATACCTCCCAAAATATAAATCGCCCCACTATAAAGGCACATACATGCTCACGTATGTTCATCACAGCACTACTCACGATAGCAAAGACATGGAATCAACCTACATGCCCATCAACAATAGACTGGGTAAAGAAAATGTGATACACTATGTAAAGAAAATGATACACACTACGGAATACTATGCAGCCATGAAAAAGAACAAGATCATGTTCTCTGCAGCAACAGGGATGGAGCTGGAGGCCATAATCCTAAGTGGACTAACACAGGAACAGAAAGCCAAATATGGCATGTTCTCAGTTATAAGTGAGAGCTAAACATTGAGTATACATGGACACAAATAAGGGAACCAGCATCTATTTGTGGGCGGAGGGTGGAAGGAGGGAGGGGATCCAAAAACTACCTATCGGGTACCACGCTTATTACCCGGTGACAAAATAATCTGTACACCAAGCCACCGTGTACAGAACAAACCGGCCCATGTACCCTTGAACGTAAAATTAAAGTTAAAAAGAAATACATAAAAATAAACCACTGAGTTTTCAGTTGATTTGCATCGACTATTTGCATTCCGCAAACCAGACTTAGTGCTTTATGATAATTGAAAGAAATCATTCCTTCGTTGTTGTTGTTTTGTTTTGTTTTGAGATGGAGTCTCGCTCTGTTGCCCAGGCTGAAGTGCAGTGGTGTGATCTCAGCTCACCACAACCGCTGCCTTCCAGGTTCACGCGATTCTTGTGCCTCAGCCTCGTGAGTAGCTGGGATTATAGGCATGAACCACCGCGCCTGGCCTCTTTTTCTTTTCATATTTTTTCATAGGTCTAGACCAAGATTTCTCAACTTTTTTTTTTAACCACCTACTAAGTAACCTTTGGAGATATTTTTTCCTAATCTCACTCCACCTCATTAAATAGTAGTACTACATATATACTGTATATCTATGTATTGCATTATATCTGTGCTTTATATAGATATATATCACATTATATCTGTGCTATATAAAATAATAAGATTTGGCCGGCCACAGCAGCTCACGCCTGTAATCCCAACACTTTGGGAGGCCGAGGTGGGCAGATCACCTCGGAGTTTGAGACCAGCCTGACCAACATGGCAAAACCTCGTCTCTACTAAAAATACAAAAATTAGCCAGGCATGGTGGCAGGCGCCTGCAATCCCAGCTACTTGGGAGGCTGAGGCAGAAGAATCACTTGAACCCAGGAGGCAGAGGTTGTAATGAGCCAAGATCATGACACTGCACTCCAGCCTGGGCAGCAAAATAAATTAATTAATAATAATAATAATAATAATATGTTTCACACACATTTTCCAGCCATCTTCACCCCTTGGAGGACATTGTTGCCCCTACTGAGAATGGATGGTCTAATCACTGCCTCTCTCCAGAGCCTGGTCTCCTCCCTCTCCCCTTCATCCATTATGCTCGCCTTCTTTCAGTTCTTTAAAGAAGACAAGCTTGGACCGGGCACGGTGGCTCACGCCTGTAATCCCAGCACTTTGGGAGACCGAGGCAAGGGGATCATCTGAGGTCAGGCATTCCAGACCAGTCCGGCCAACATGGTGAAATCCTGTCTCTATTAAAAATACAAAAAAACTAGCCAGGCGTGGTGGTGCGTGACTGTAATCCCAGCTACTGGGGAGGCTGAAGTGGGAGAATTGCTTAAACCCAGGAGGCAGAGGTTGCAATGAGCTGAGATCACACCACTGCATCCCAGCCTGTGCAACAAAGGGAGACTCCATCTCAGAAAAAAAAAAAAAAAAACAATGACTGTCTGGAAAAGATCTTTTTAATGTTATTTGCATGGGTTCCTCTTGTTGGACGGAATCCTTGGTCATTTGCATGTACTGTGCTTTATATATAAAAAGAGTAAGATTTTTTCCACCACTTTCCCCAGGTGGGAGGTGATATCCCCTTTGAAAATGCATGGCCAGCCCTGCTCGTTCTCTGTTGCTCTCACATTGTCCATTCATTGTTTCTCTCCACACCGAGACCTCACAGAAAGGGAGCCTCCAGAGGTGGGAACGTGCCCTGGGGTAGGCAGGAGAGAAGGGGATAAGGTGTTACCTTGAAGATAGGATGTATGGATGGCAGGCACCTCATGGTGGCCACAGCAATGACCTCAGCCATCAAGTGTCCCCTCAGAAGATGAGACTGCAGCTCATGGAGCTGGAAGTCAGAGCTGCGCACCCAGCATTTGGCCAGAAGCCAGACCATTGGAGGATCCGTGGGCAAGAAAAGTGGAGGTGGCGGGGATCCTGCGCTGGGTAGTTGGAGCTGGAGCAGGGACAAGGTGTGGGGAGAGAAGGCATGAGTGCTGGGCACTCAGCAATCCGACCCCCGCCCCCTTGCATGTTAACCTTGCCGTTCTTCCTCCAAACGTGTTTCGCTTTCCCCATCTCACTGCTCCCACTCCCTACAGCTCCCATTTCCTCCCCTCCCCTTCCTACCCGCTCGGTGCATTAGCACCCTGCAAGCTGCTTTGCCTCCAGCATTCTGCAGACACTGCTCTTCTGGTGCCTCCTCCAGCCTCCACTTCCCCTTTCAGTCCCCGCAGTGTGGAAAAGATTCAAACCACCTGCTTCCTTCATCCCACACTGTTTTTCGAAATCTAATCTTCTAGCCCCACCTCTACACAAATGACTGAATCTCTTGTTCTCAACTGCCTGCTGGACAATTTAAATGTCTTCCCATTACCTCAACATTGGCCAGACAAAAGTCTCCTGGGGCACCCTGTTCTCTTTATTGGTGCTATTTCTGCAGGCACCTGGCCTGGCTCCCCTTTCCCCTCTCCTTGATCTCCCTCTGCACTCGCATCCACCTGTCCTCTGCATCCCGACGATGATCACCACCCACATCCGAGCTCCCCTCCTCCTGGGATCAGTGCTGGAGCACATTGCCCCAGCCCCTGTTTCTAGCATCTCCCCTCTCCAACCCACCCTAAACACCACTGCCCACACCGCGTGCCCATAGCACGTTTCGTCACAGCCTTCTCCAGCTTCCCACCTCATACTCCTTAGCCTGGCTTAGTCTGGCCTCTGGTCCAACTGTCCCCTAGCTGAAGACAGGAGAGAAGGGGATAAGGTGTTACCTTGAAGATAGGATGTATCGATGGCAGGCACCCCATGGTGGCCACAGCAATGACCTCAGCCATCAAGC